TCTTCAAGTTCAAATATATGAGCTTGCAGCTGGAACCTACTCATGCTGCTTGCATTTCCTCTGATATTGAACCTCAAAGTGAAGGTCAAACATCACAGCACTAGGATCGCAATCAATGCCGCTGCATGAGCATAAGTTTAATTTTAGCTCATATGAAACAAATTCAAGTGTGAAAGTATTCCTAAAAGAATCTGGAGGTTACGTCACAAAGTGGTGCAATTTACACGTATAGGGCTCTCAGGGGGAGTGCAAAACATGGGCAACACATATGTAGGAAATAGAATGGGAGGATAAAAGCCCAGAAAAATAAGACTATGGGGTAAAAGGAAGGAGAGCCCTAACCAGTTTCCTTCTCTTCCTCCCTCCCCTCAGCCTCCTTATATTCAAGTTACACTAGTTTTGTATATTTACTGGATGCCAAATTATGGCCAATAACACTCTGTCACCACTAATACTGTCCTAGTCCTGAGCTTAGCAGGAGACCCTGTGGAAATACATGCTTTTTTAAAAGCTGTCTCACAGCCCCATGCAGGTCATTACCAGATTCCTTTTCCAGGTCTCTATGAGTCTCTTCTTCCTGAATTCTCTGCAAGTAAGTTTCAGGCTGGCAGGGACGGTCCTGTGCCTAGGGATGTAAGCGACTAGTGAACTATCCGATAAGTACATGCTTATCGGATAGCCCACTCAACTAGTCCCTCTGATACAGAGGCAGCAGGGGGAGCGGGGGAGGGAGCTGGGCCAGGAAGAGTGCAGTTTAAACACCAGTTCCCCTCAGCACGTCTCTGGAAAGGTGGGGGAAGGACAGGGGTGCAGCAGGGAACTGGTGGCGCTGCTGCCTCTGAAATGTAGCAAAAGCGGGGCTCTTGCTACATTTCAAAAGCAGAAGCACGTGGGAGCAGGAGGGGAGTGGGGGATTCAAACAGTCCCCCGCTGGCCCCGTGCTCCCTGCTTTTGAAATGTAGCAAGAGCTGGCAGGGCTCTTGCTAAATTTCAAAGGCGGATGTGCCTTTACCGACTAACCTATTGTTTGATGCACATATCGTCGACTATTTGATTAATCAATCTAAATTTACCATCCTTACCTGTGCCCAGAGAAAACAAAGGATTGGCCTGAGGCATGAATGCCCAGAGGTTGAGTCAGGTCTCTCTTTTCAAAAGGCCAGGAGGGAAGATGGGAAAAAAACAACAACCCTCCTGCTAATAGGACTGAACCCTGCTCCATTGTAATCAGTGAGTTTTGTTATTGATTTCAGTGGGAGCAGGATCATGCCCAACAGGAAGGATCCCCATCCACTTGTGGGCAGCCACAACAGAACATACCAGCTGTTCCCTCTTCCCTGACCTCTGAGGAGGGCAGCATGGATTTCTTAGTCTCTGTAGAGAACAGAATCAACTGAGAGAATGTGGAGAACAGGGAGAAAGGAGGGGAGAGCAAATGGGCTGTAAACTGGAGCAGGTGCCGCATTAAGAAGATGCGCAGTGTCTAATTCAGCAAGGCTTTTAAACACTTGCCTACCTTTGGACTCATGAGTAGTCCCCTTGTATTCAATAGGGTTTCTCGTGTGCTAATAGCTAGGCACCTAACCAAGTACCTTAATGAATGGGGGACTAAAACAGGACAAATGACAAACCTTCTCCTTCAATAACTTGCAAAGCAATTAAGAGACGTTATCATGACTGATCATTTCACAACAGGCCCAATCCACACAGTTATTTCCTGGCCCCTCCCCCGCAAGGACTTTTCACTCGTTAACCAGACAGCAGCCTGGAGCCAGCTTTTTCCAGGTTTGCTAATCACAAACCTCACCCCTAACTCTGCCCAGACTAGCAGCAAGCTGAAGTCTCTCAACAAACAAAAACTCAGAACCAACATTCTACATTTGTCCCACTTCCCCTTTAGGAGTTGCTACTTGGGTGGGAGTTTCATTTTTCAATGCTCACACATAATTTAGACCGAGTAAAAAAAAAAAAAAGTCTCTCATGCCTATGAAAAGCTAGCAGGCAAGCAGCTCTCTTCCAACCCGTGTCCTAAATTCTTCCCATGATATAGGAATAGTCAATTATATACTGCCCTCCTTACCAACATGCATCTTGATTGGATGAGAGGAGATTGTGCTGCCCTGTTCTGTGCTACAGGCTTAGTAACCTAAGATTTTTCAGGACACCAGATTTTACCTTAAGACCACTCGTCGTCTCTCAGTACATGCCTGTCTGCCCCAGAACTCCTGGAATTGGGGTTACCTGGTCCCCAATCCTCTGCCCCTTCTGACTTTAAAGAAACAGTATAATCACAGTGAGCATATCTCCAAACAGATATTAGCAGAAGGACAGCTGCTATACAGAACATCATAAGAATTTCTTTAAAAACAAAAACAGACAAATACATGCACAGAGTTCAGTGGGAGTTTTCTTTGGCTCAGGTCTAGGAAAGGACTGCAAGATTTGCACCAGAGAGAAATCCAAAAACAAAGAGGCAATAATTTAACAAGCAACAAGTTGTCTTACATAAAATGCCTGAAGTAACTAGAATAATGAACTAGCTCTGCATAAAGAAACAACTGTAAAGTTCTTGTACCGTGGGGCATCTATTGTCTCATTAAATTATTCAGGAATGTCTATGACATTTAGAAACCAACTAGCCAATCTTTCTACTTGCTGTCAATGTTAATGAGCTTTGAATCTATTAATACAAGACCACAGAAAATATCTTTTCAAAAAGTGATCCGACTGCTAATTTCCCTGTATTATCAAACGAGGAACTTCCTGGGAATCATTTGCTCAGTATATACTGTCACATTTTCAGTAGTTTAAAAAACAGAGTATTAGTACTGGGCCCAATAACATAAGATAGTTCTGGGTCTGTCAGCACGTTCACTGTAAGACTCAGTTTCAGTTAGCGAGGTGGAAAAAACACCACTAACTTCCACAGAAATATTTTACCTGTAAGGTCTGGGGAGACAACATGGTCGAGATATAGGACTGGAAGTGAGGCTTGCTGACAATTTTGGGCTGTAATCCTCCATGCCCTATCACCAACGGAGCTGCTGGCTACAAGTGGAATGCACAATACAGCACCTGTGGAGACATACTAACCAAAGCCCTTCTCTATAGGCCAGGTCACTGTGGAAATCACTGTGTGCCTTGGAGGTGCAGTATTTCCTGGAGCGCCCACTGGCTCAGAGCAGATCTTGAAAATCATGCTTCATCTTTGGCCTCCCTGCCTGGGAATTTCACCAGAGTGGGCAGAGCAGGGGATGGATCCCTTATTTCCCCTCATAATAGCTAGTCAGCAGCTTCTTTGCCCTCAGTCCTCCAGAGACAGACCCAGAGGAAGCTTGGGAGAGCATTGAGCAACTGTCTGGAGAAGTCTCAGAGAAGCAGCCACCTACCTAAACAGCAACAGACATGCAGAGAAGGAACCCAGCATGCAGACTATATATACGGGAAAAGAAGCTTGGTGTGAGGAACAATGGAGAGTTAATGGAGTAAGGGGGAGAGAAAGACTGATGGAGAGGGGATGAAGACGGCAAAGAGGAAATGGAGAACTGATGGAATGCAGCAGGGAGGATTTATATGTATTTGCGTTGGTGTAACTGATGAGTGGAGGAAAAGAGAATGGATCTGTTGTTTTAGAGGGACCACACTTAGTGATTCTGTGCAAATTTGCATATTAATTTACACAGAAACGTCCACATGGAAATTCCTTTCAGGCTTTTTGCTGAGCCCCAGTAGGCAGCTCTGGTTCTGTTTGCTCCCTCACTCTGTACGTTCCACTGCCTCAAATGAAAAACGGAGCCATAAGTTATTACAGTGACAGCAAAGTGAATCGTTTCCCTTCATATGGGGCCCCACATTATTTTAACAGTTCCAAATTCCACACTAAAGATTAATATTAAACAAAGTAGGCCATAATTCCCTAGTCTGTACTGCACTGAACTGTAATAAGATTATAAATTCCAATCATTTACTGGATTATTCCAAGAGGGTTGTTCATTGCAAGCAGGATTATTTTTGGCTACAAATATTTGGTATAGAGAGCTGATGAATTTATTCCTTTAATTACAGCCTATCTTTTAAAAGGCTCTGGAAGAAGAGGTAAGGGCATAAAAATCAAGAATAAGGTATTTGATGGCTGTCAGCTAGTAGAAAAGTATGGAATATTAATTAGAATAAATGAGACAATTTTTCAGGAAAAAAGGGAGAAGCTCCAGTTGAGAAGGCAGAAATCTACTGCAGTTCTTAAGTGGATAAACTATGTTGTGGAAGGCCACTTCGTTTAAAGATACAAAAACTCTACAGTCTACCTTAATGTTAAACACATGCTTAGGTACTTTCCTGTTTCAGAGCCTACATGATTTATAATATGAACCTGCTAACTCCTCTGCTAGTTGGCTAGTGTCCTGTACCTCTGATTCCATCAAGGTCAAGCAATGTGTAATTTGCTGCAAGTGCCAGGCTACAACACACATAGCCTTGTCTTTTGTATATTATTGACTTCAGGCTTGGCCTTAAGTTTTTCCCTTGTTGCAGAAGATACAGAATCCCCTTTCCAGGTTGTGCGCAGAAGCACAGAGACTGTTCCATGAATATCATCTACCCCCTGAACACAGATTCACAGACAAAATCTCTATCCCATAATCACTGAATCCAATCAGAGAATCATAGGATTGGATGGGACCCTGAGAGGTCATCTAGTCCAGTCCCCCGCATTCCCACTCATGGCAATTTCAATAATCAATACCTGCTCTTTGAAGTGGGAAGGCAGAATTCATTGTTTCTTTTAAGTTTACCGAGATAGCCAAATAAGAGGCAGAGACCTCCTATGTAATAAATGCTTGGATACGTTTAACTTTATATAGATGAGAAACCGGATATAAACCTTCCCAACACATGGGCAAGTTTAGATCTGAAACTTCAAGACCCAGGCCTCTTGAGTTTTAACATATATCACATCCTTTCAGCTACTCACAGGACAAGAAGAGTTAAATGTACCAACTTACCACACCACCCCCTGCAGAGTGAACCAGCACAGACATGCCTTCTCTTAGGTTGGCCACTTCAAAGAGCATCATGTAGGCAGTTACAAAGTTCATAGGAAAGGCAGCAGCTTCAGAAAAACTCATGTCATCAGGAATCTTGTAGACAAATTCTACTGGGGTACATACTACTTCAGCCCATGCGTTATAATTTACGAAAGCCATGACTCTGTCGCCAATCTGTAATAATAGAGAAAATGGTATTGGGATTATTAGAACAATAAGCATGCACATCAGAATAGTTGCAATATGCTATAAATATGAATAACTATATTACAATTTAAGTGACATGACTAGAGGTTCTCCCACCAGACTCCATGGATAACAGACTACCCCCAAATCTGCTTCTGACACAATGATTAGGAAGCAGCAATGCTTGTTGCAGCCCAGTCTTGAGCTTATTAGGTTTTCCAGAGGCTTTCATATAACTTTTACACAGAAAAACAGCTTCAGCTCTTTCTTTGTTGCTTTGTTTCTTTGGTGAAAATGTGTTTGTAGGCAACACTAATACTAGAAGGATGAAACTACAAAGTGATATCAAAAGATCTGAGTAGTGGGGTGCCCAAGCTGCGAGAAGAGCTTTGCTACTAATTAAGGCAAGTTTTGCCTGGAGATGCAAGACTAGGACAACAGAAACACCAGATGAATGGATTTGACTAAGTAACAACATCTGAAAGGGTGTTTATTTTCACCTTGCCTTTCTAACCTTAAGAGTTTTTCACAAGCTGCTTGTCTGAGCAATACATTTGCTGCAAGGTAGCTGTGGACATAGGAATGGGAGGCCTATTTTACGAAACAAACCACCATATTAAAAGTTTGAGAACCAGTGAATTATATTTTTATTTTAATGCTCGCATTACCTGTTTACTTTGGAGTTATATTACTCTAAGACCACGTCTTCACTCCATGGAAGATTGACGCTGCTGCAATTAATCTTCTGGAGTTTGATTTAGTGAGTCTAGTTAAGACTGGCGAAATCCAATTCAGAGGGCACCCCCACCAGTGGCTGGTACTCCTGCTCCTGGTGAGGAGTAAGGGAAGCCGATGGGAGCATTTGCTCCTGTTGGCCTCCTGCTTTGGGTATGCTGCCAACCTCGGCTTAACTGAGCTGCCCAGTCTAGTGTAGACATGACCTAAGCAGATATTTAAACTGCCTTTGTCTGCTGGAGATAAACAATATGTGCCAAGGCCCTCAACTACTGGGGCTACATTCTGCTCTGAACTACATCCATGTATTTCCAGAGTGATTCCCCTGAAGTGTGTGCAACAACTATGGCTATGTGTAGGCTGCAGGGTTACATAAAAAAGAGACACACAAATTGTGGTTCGCAATTTGTGTATCTTTTTCTGCCCCTCCCCCCTTTTTAAAGAGGCTTTTCTGAAATTTGGCCTGTCTATATGGGTGCACATTTCAGAAAACTTCCTCTTTCATGCAGTGAGGAATATAGGGATGCCAAAAGCGCTGCAGTGTAGACATACCCGAAGAGTTTATATCTGTGCAGCTGAACAGAATTGATCCTATAACTTTAAAATAGGACTTCAAACCATCAGCCTGGTGTCCTTTGGCTCTTATGCCAAATTCTAAATCAATCAGTTCCTATCCACAGGAATTAAAGGAGCAATGCAATCTTCTTTTTTCCTGCAACTGCAGACTCAATTATGGTAGAATGAATACATACATACATACATACACACACACATATACACACACACACAAAAACTGCTTCTAGCAAATACAAAATGGAGATAAGTTTGAAGATGGAGTGAGATTACATTAGCTGCATTAAGTGTCTCTTGGGGATTGTGCTGAGGTGGAGACACATCTATTTTATACATTTATCTAGCGGCCTTCATTGCAGTTTCAGATACTGAGAATTCAGACAGCAATTCCCCATGGACAGCCAAGAATAATAATGTGAATGTCTGAAAATGTAAGGGAAATTCTCCTCACTTGTATGGGTATAGGAAAACTTCAAGACACTGGTAAGTGGTAG